ATGCTACGTTGAAAATGAGAAGTTTGGTTAAAAAGTTATATATATATTTTTTCATTTTATTGTTCCATTAAATGTTTTTTTTTAATGTTAGCAATAAATTCAAATTGTTAGCTATTTAGACATTTACAGCCTGTTATTGTAATGTACATAAGGTCATAATAACATGATGTAATTTTTAGAATATCCACATATATTAGGCACTTCCTTGGTGGAGGTACCTAGTTTTGTGCAGACTCTAACATTATTTTGATGCAATGATGGTTTTTCATTGTCAAAATAGAATTAACGCTTCATTTGAATATCTGGATCCAAAAGGTCCATCAGAATATTAGTTATTGCCAGAAACGCAGTTTTAGGCTGCCATGCAATTTATTCCACAATAAATTACTTTCAGTTTTAAAGGTGCAACATCTGAATGCATTTGATTGTTGGCACAGTCAAATGTTAAAGCTTTGAGTTTTTATGTTTTTAGGAAAAAACATAAAATATACACAAGTTTTCAATGAACTTGTGTATAAAACATTTTAGTTGTATAAAACCGAGAAACAAACAAAAAAAAAAATCCACTTTCTAAGTGGCACCATCCACCAGCTTGAATCCCTCATTTTCTATTCCAAACTGTGGATGTGTGGTTAACTGAGCATTCTTTGTACCATGTGTGGTGAGCAGGCCAATCCCATTGCAGCATCGGCAAGCATGAAGAGGCTTTTGCTGGCTCTGACTCGCCTGAGGTTGGCATTCAAAGGGAGGAGAGAGAAAAAGGGGAAGAGATGCTAATCATCTGATCTCTGGTGAACAAGGCTTGAGAGAGAGAGCGAGACAGAGAGAGGTACACAGAAAGATGTCTGTGCTTCTGCCAAAGCCATTTTTTTTGGAGTCAGAATGAAATACAGCAATAGGATAAGGATCTCTGCTTATAGTCAGCCTCCCTGCCTCCACATCTAAGGGACAACAATTATCTCTGCCACAACCTGCCTCATAAGCTTGACAGGGAAAAGAAAAACAAAACACAAAAAACAAAAAACTGGATCCTCTAGAAAAATACAACATTAACTAGTGGCAATAATACACATTTCAACACTGGCAAATGGCTGTGGAGATAGATGTGACATTCTTTCCTGTATGGGTTTAACTGTACTTAATGAATTCTGACAAAATCCCATGGGAAAGATGTCAGCGTATGTGCAAATTTGTACACCCCACTAGTATTTTGACAGCTTCAAGTTTGAAACAAACTTGAAGAAAACAAGCACTATACGTTTGGACCAATCAACTGACTTTTAGAAAGCTGCAATGTGAAGTGCTGCAATTGTTGTTACTGCCTTTCAAGACAGTGTGACTGTGTCTATCAAGTAATTAATGAAGTATTATTTTATATACAGCTTATGTTTAAAGAAAGCCTGACTGATTTAGGTTGGGCATATGGGCTACAGTGCAACCTTTTCACTAATTAAATATTGCATGAAACAGAGTCTGCAGAACCAGATGAGCTGATGAGTAGCTACATTTTAGTGAATCCTCCAATATCTACAGGACCAAAGCCATGTTGACTTTGCAGACTGGTGCAGAAATAGCTTATAAATCCCTATATATATATATAGGGATATATAAGCTATTTCTATATATATATATAGGGCTGCTCAATTAATCGAATTTTAATCACGATTACGATCTGGGCCTTCAACGATCATTAAAAATGACTGAGCCGATTATTAGCCCCTCCCTCGTGCTTTACTCTCACGCTGCTCCATGTGGCAAATCGAGCGCGCCTCTCTGCATTTCGAACACGTGTCACAACAATTAAGAGCAGCGGTCCCCAACCTTTTTTGCGCCACGGACCGGTTTATGCCCGACAATATTTTCACGGACCGGCCTTTAAGGTGTCGCGGATAAATACAACAAAATAAAACTAGTACCGGTACAAAAAAAAAGAAAATTTATTCATAACACACGTGAAAAGACCAAGGAAAACCGAGTTAACGATAAAAACGATAACAAAATAACGCTGAAAACCGATAAAAACCCTGAAAACCATACATTTCACACCTGAGCCTCAACTCTCGCGGCCCGGTACCAAACGACTCACGGACCGGTACCGGTCCGAGTCCCGGGGGTTGGGGACCGCTGATTAAGAGGACCCGAGGGAAGCTCGGAAAGCTAAGCAGAAGTTATTTGGAGAGGAGAGTGACTGCTGCTAGTTGAAAAGAGGTAAAAAAAACTTCAGTGGTGTGGAAACATTATGGGTTCGCGGAGTCAGACGTGGATCAAGTAGACATAGTGTGTAAACTTTGCTACAGTGTCGTAGCTGCACCACAGAGCAACACTGCAAAGTTCACTAAACATAGATGTTTACATTTTTCATTTATTTTTTATATTGCAAACATTTGCACTGTTATCAGTATTTGCACACTATTTTATATTATTTTTTGACAATCTTTAAAGTCATTATTCAATACATTGTTATTGTTAAATATCGTCAAATAATCAAGATCTCAATTTCAGTGAAAATAATCGTGATTATCATTTTTGCCATAATCGAGCAGCCCTATATATCACAAATCAAAACAAAGTATAGCGTTGTTCTTTGCCCAGTGGTTTAAATAACGACGAAACTGAAATTGCACCAGCTTTCCAGATCAAATTTGAATCAGTTTTAATTTCTTCCCCCACTTTGAATCTTGATTCTTGGTGGGTGGTAAGGACCTGATGTGCTACTGGAGTATTTTTTCTCCACTCTGCACAGTAACCCTTGGGATGAACTTGTCCCTAACTGAACCTCTAGTCCCCACCCAGTTTCCAAGCTGCCGCAGTCAGACAAAATTTCGAATTAGTATTCAGACAGCATCAGATCTCTGGGCCAAACACTCGCTGGACAAACCTTGACACACACGCGCGCGCACACACACACATTAACCATTTATGTATGAGGATCAGGAGACATGCTTCAATTACCACAGTGCAGAACTCACAGGGGAAAATACACCCCAGAGAATGGGTTAAAAACCTCTTTATCATCGCTATGTGAGAATAACTGCACATTATTTTTCTCATTACATGCTACACATTTTGCTGTGCTGTAGATTACTATTGCAGGTTCATAATGCATAGTGGGTACTGCAGCGAGACAAAGCTAATTATTAGCAGGGAAGTGATAACACTGACACATCACTAAAGCAATAGTTTACTGCTACAAAGTGCTGCGAGCTAGAGTTTTTAAATTCACACATCTCATTTTCTAACTGTTTCAGCGAGGTGTTGATACATCTCATTAGTCTGACCGCGGCTGCTGTCGTACCCCTATCCCAATCCTTCATCTGTTTTACGCCCATTGATTTAAAATTAAGTGTTTACAGAAATCTAGCGTACTGTGACATGTCAGCATATTTAAAGACATATTTATAGACAAAGCGTCCATCTATGTTAAAATAAATTATTTGACACTATTGAGAGCTGTAGAACTAAACAAGTTCAATGAAGACAGCTTTTCTTGGCATTTCCTGGACAGAACCTAAAACCCTTATCAGAGACTATGTAACCCACGAGTTCTTCTTAAGGCGCCATGCATGCGCACGTAAAAGGGGATATTTAATGCGTCATTTGACTCTTCAGTCAGGAGTAACAAGTTGCGGAGAAACACGAAGGATATAAAACCTGGTGTAAGCGAAATGCAGCTGAAGAAGTGCATTGGAGTCTGACACCGTGTTTCAATGACAGAAATGCAATGCACACCAAGCAGTTTTCTAATCTGTTCTGCATGCTCAAAACAATCAGTTTAAAAGAGACTTGGCAACAAATCAGCATATCTCGCTAACCCATTCATCCTGCTTCACAGCACACCCCTCGGAGCACCTCAGGCCAAGCAAAGAACAAGACAACAAATAGAATTTGACCATAACTCTGAATTTCCTCTCAGAGCTTCACTTTGAAAGGAAACAATTTTTTTTTTAAAATTTGGGCAGTAGGTAGCAAAGAGAAGGGCAGCCATTAATGACCCATTATAAAAAGGAAAGCACTAAACTATGGTAATAAATGAATGGAAGCTCATGAACAAAGTAACAGGAATCTTTTACTAAAATCCATACATCAGACTCTGAGGCCCTGCATGAATCATTTTATGAGGTTGAAACTAAAATAGGAACAACTCCTTGAATTTTATATCACGATAAGAAAGCCAGTGCAGTAACATACATTATTCAAACAGAATTATGTCTAGGTTCCCAAACTGGCTAGTCACTCAATGGGAGCTTTAAAATTTGCATCTACATTACAAGGCGGTGCAATTTATCAGACTCCCAAAGCAGGAATTTAGAGTTTGATCTTTTCACAGTAAACTGTTAGAAATCCCCATTCAATATACAGTGCAAACAACTATAGAAGGTAATATAGTACACAAAATCAAATAAGTGTGATGTGTAAAGAATATAAATGAGAGGGTGAAAGGCAGGAAGAGGAATGTGTTTCTATTCAACAGTTTCATTGCTCAGTGTACACTAGCAGTGCAGAATTCAAAAGGATAATTAGCGGCTGGTTTGCGA